TGATAACGATCAATACCCAGAATGCCCAGTCTCATTTTATCCTGAGTTCTTTCACCTTCTTTGTGTGACTGGATCAAGTCCACAGAACCTTGAAAGCTCTCTTTCCTCATCTGCTAAAAGGGTACAACATACTCCACTTTCTTTTGAGGATGAATGAAGATAATGGAATGCACTAGAACATGCTCAGCGGAGAGCCTGACACCATGTGTCAATCAAGAGTGGGCATCACTGAATTTTAATAGTAAGTGACATCCCTAAAATTCTTCCTACTCAGGCTTCCTTCAGCCCATGCTTGGGCCACAGGCACCCATAACTCAGGCCAGGTGAGGCTTCTGGGTAACATGCATAGTGGACCAACATGGGCAAGATCTCACAACATCAGCTGGGGTTGCCGGTCTACAGGGTCTTAGTTACATCCCTGAATCACCTGCAAACCATCTTCCAGTTTTTATTATCCCTTTGGCTCCTGCTCTATTACCAGCATCTCCAGAATCACGCATTTCCCATATATTAAGTACCTTATCTGGAGCAAAAAACAACCTTTTACAGACAGGGACTCTGAGACAGGCTCAATGTGGTCACAACACTGGTGAGCACAGAGCTTCCATTTAGAAATGTTCAGGCCTGATGGAGTTTTCATTCTTTAAGGCCCCCATTTTCCTAAGTCATCTAAACAAAGATATCTCTTCCTAAAGAAGAAATCACATACTCACACCCACTAGATCCTAACCCCTAGTCCATAGCTTCCTAGCATGGTGTCCCTTTCCAGAGCCCCTATCCCAGTTTGGGTCCCTACCTTGATTTGTATGGTTATGTTATACCACACTTCAGGATAGAGCAGCAAAGCAGACAGTGTGTTTCACATTCTAGTGCTGTGTTCATCATTACCTGGTCAGTGGTGCACACTCACCTGAGCATCTCATCCAGACAGCCTTCAAGGAAGGAGGGAGATTCCATGCAGAGATCCCGGAGGTGGTGCAGCCTGAGGAACTGAGAGGTAATTTGGACAACGTGCTGCTGTTCCTGCTCCTCAAGTGCAGAGACGTGGATGTGGGAGAGAAGGAATCTCTGCACTTTATTCATCTGGCCCAGGAGAGGAGCAAACGTGGCCAGGGTGGACAGATGCCAGGTGCAGTTCACTTGCACCTCCTGGATACAGTCCAGTTGCACCCTACTCAGGACCTTCATAATATTTTCCATGGGCATTGAAAGTATCTTCAATTTCTTACAGCACAGGTGTACGGAAGCTTTCCTCTCCTCCACCCACCTGATGAGGTAGGTGAGGAATCTATCCATGGTCCTTTCTTTGAGGTGAAGTTCTATGAACACCACCACGGGAGCCAAGGACTGCTCTGCCCTTGACCTGTCCTCAGCCACTGGTGCCATCAGAGTGCTTGAGTACCCATGGGCCCCATCTCCACACCACTTTCTCCAGAAGTCTTGTCCAGTATGCCTTAAATCCAGCACCCGCAGTTTGCACCTCCTGTGGGGAAACAGCAGATTGGCAGAGAGGGTTTAAGAGCCACACATAATGAAACCACAGTCTCAGCATTTAGGCAGCATTCATTTCCCACCTGAGCTTTTACTTCTCATCCCTGACATCACCTGCTGCCTTGCCCTCTTCTTCCCTCTCCGCCTCACCTTCCTCCATCTTGTTTCCCCTTCCATCCTTCCTGGTTCTCCACTTCTAGTACCTTAAGCATCACTAGAAAGATGTGGGGACGTGTTCCTTCAGGTGCCCTTTCATCTTAGGCACTCCTACATTTCTGGAAGTCAGCGATGGCCAAGGCCTCTGAGCCTCTTCACCTGGCATCAGAAGCCTCTGGGCCATCCGCTCTTGTGACACCAGCTGCCTCTCAAGGATGTCTAGGACTCTACCAGGATGCTTGGATCAGACTCACCTGGGGTGACCCTGCTGGGCAACTAGGACATCAACACCATCCAACACTGCTCGTAAGGTCCCCCGGTGAGGCGTCTGCATCAGACCCCCCAGAGGCAGGCGGACAAAGGGCCAGGCTTGCACCATGGCCTTCAGGGCCTCACTGTGTCTCCCATAGAAGGCCAAAATGAACAGTGGTGGGAAGAGCTCGGTGGGCAGATACTCCAAAATGGAGATGACCGAGGTCTCATCCCTCAGCAGGCTCATTCCCGCCAGGCCGAGGAGTCTGAGTGGGTTCCAGACACTCATGCTGACTCTGCTCCAAAAGGAATCCTGTGAATATTTGCAGGGAATAAGTCATCCTTCTCAAGCCAAACATGAGCACCCCTTAATCTGTCTTCTCACCCTGCAGAGGAACAAACTCATAGCCAAATCACTGCTCCCACAGTAGTGGAAGAGCCTCTGTTTAGCAGAATTCTACTCTAGTCTCTGTGGGCACAAATCCATAATGCTGCCTCTACAGGAACCAGAGCAAGCCTCCTTCCAAGGAGGTAGAAAACCAACGACTTGCCCATTCATTTCCATTCACCACTTTGCTCAATTGTATTGCACTGGGAAGTGGGTATCATGAGCCTGAAGGCTGACCCTAATCTTTTTGGTGAAAACTTTTATAAAATCGCTTAGGTCCCTAAAACTATGGGAATAAGAGCATTATGTGGCCCAACACAGCCTCCATCCACAATTCCCACTGTTAACTTGGGCTGGAAAAGATGAAGGACATACGCCTAAAATGAACGCTCTTTTGTGTACAGACTAAATATTTTAAATGTCAAGAAATAAAATTCTAAACAGTTAGATGTTTTCATTAAAAGGAAAATCTTCTTGGTTAAGATAATTAAAAATGATATAAACCAAAGGACAAATCAAAATGTTGAGAGTGAGGCAAAACTACACTGAGAGGCAAAACCAAAGCATTAAATTCGTTCATCGGAAAAGAAATAACTAAAGAAACCACTCTCCCTGCCATCCTGAGCTACGTGGCACAATTCAAGACCAGCTGACCATACCTAAGAGGAGAGTGTCCTTAACTGAGGTCTATAACTTACCAGCTCTGATGTGGTTGGCAGGGTGCTCAGTCCTAAGACCGGGTAGAGAACCCAGACAGTGACTCCAGAGGAAGAAGTTTCTGCATCTCTTCTTTGATGCCTGAGGCTTTTATAGGCCTTTCTAGTCACGTCTTCCCCATTTCCAACTACTAATAACCAATCAGAAAGCGAAGCCTGATTGGATTCCAGACTGTCCATCAGGTTAGTCATGATTGGATCTTCGCCTACATCCTGATGAATTGATTGAATCTGATTTTCATTCAGGAGGGAATAAATGGGGGTAGGGGATTCAAGGACTCAATCATTGATTCACTGCACAAACATGGATTGAGTTTTACTAATAGGGTCAGTTATGGCCATGGGTGTGGGAAGAGATTATTGGTTCCTGATATCGGACAGAAACAACGAAACTAGAAAGCATCATTGTTGGAGAATCTTTGCGCAGATCAAACTCATCAAGATGTCCAACAATTAAGACATTATAAAAATATGGTTATGTCATTCCCAAAGGAAACAACATAAACTTCTATCTGCATCAAGTTGTCCCTTAGGTGTTATATAAGAAACATAGCAGATCATGAGCGTATTCAGGGAGCAAGGGAAATGCAATGGGGGATATGCTTGGCACTCCGGGCTTAAGTCAGGGCTTCTCTGAAGCAGGTCAGGTCAAAATCACAATAAGAAGGAAGGGTGGGGACCGGGCAGTGCAGAGCTGGGCATTCCTAAAGGGACACTGTGAATGAATCAAGACAGTGTATAGTATGGGTATATTCTTTTTCTCTTGGGAAAATGGAGACTAAAAGACTTTTCTCTGGGTGGAGTTTAGAAATTAAAAAGGGAACCAGTGTTTGTTTGAGGTGTTTCCTCCCAGAAAGATGGGATCAGCACAGCAAACTGGCATGAAAAGATTAAATATGAGAATGTGAGCAGAGGGAGAGGCTGGGAGCCCTGGGAAGTCAGACATTTCCAAGACTGAGAGCCACTGAGGGTGGGCACTGTGGGCTGTTCGGGAATTTGGATACAAGGGGAGACATGAACGTGGATAAGGTGCACCAAACCCTGCCTTCATCGTGGTGGCTGCTACCAGTAAATATTTTCTTTTAGGTTCTTCCCACAGAGGACGCTCCCAGATGGCAATTAGCTCCAGCCATTTTCCTGGGGCTTGGTAGCCAAATCATAATCCCATTGGCCCCTTTCCACGTATATTATGATAATTACTATTTCCTCAAAATTAGGAAAGTTCAGCAGAAATTCTGACCAAAGTGACATCATTAGCCACAGAAATAAAATTCTGCTCTTCTCATATTAAGCACTCTTCACAAATACCAACACCTTTCCCTACAAAGTTCAGAAGCTATATTTGGTGTTTAAGGATCTGCTCATGGGTGACACCCACCCTGGGCTTCATCACATGGAGATTTTTCTTCCAGTTTCAGGGTACAAAGAAAGTGTGACCCTCCCTCTACCCCTAAGAGTTCTTCATGCCTTCCTTTCCTCCATTCACTGCGATGTCCAAGTAATTCAATTAT